CCTGAGCCCCCGGCGCCGTACACCCCAGCTGCCCCCGCTCCCCGGTGGGGTCCGAGCCCTGCAGGGCCCCTGGGGGTGGGGGTGCACGCCTGAAGAGCATGGGAAGCAAAAGGAAAGGGGCCAAGTGCCACCAAAGCAGAGCCACCTCCTCTAAGGCACACGCAGGGACTCACCAAACAGCGAAATAAAACACCAAGAGGCCCCCAAATTGCTTTTGCCTTTTTGACAGCAACACGCTGGGCAAGGCTGGCAAAGGAAAGGGGGGTCGCTTCAGGCAGCGGGCATAAAAGTCCTTCTTTGCTTCTTTTTGCAGATATTCCTAATTAACATCTGTGAAAATGATTTATTTGATGTTTTTCTCCTTTCTTCCAGATGTCATAGGCTCATCACTTTTGAAAAAATTTTATTCTAAAAGGGCAGGACAGTGGGAACGTGCCTTGCACCTCGCTGAAGGCTCACTCCCAGGCCAACCATCCAACCAGCGCCGGGCTGGCGAGGGCTGGCGCTTCCCTTCCCACGGGTGGCCATCCCTCCCGGGTGGCCCACAGGCAGGTGAGCTCAGCCATTGCCATGGGATGGGGGTCACCACCACGTGGCTTGTGTAACCACCAGGCTTGTCGGCAGCCTCGGCCAAAAAGCGAAGGGCTAAGCCGACCGTGGCGGGTGACGCAGCCGCTCTGACCTAAAGAGCTCTCAGGCCATGAGCGATGGCACGGGGGGACCTGCCCACGCCAAACCCGGACACCAGCACCGAACCCACCATGTGCACCGCCCTCTGTACCGTGCTACGTAAATAAACAAATGAAGCCCCTGAAGACAAGAGCCTGAGAAACGAGCCCAAAACTACCCGTGCTTGGCTGGAGAAGGACCAAACAAGCACTGAAGGAGAGCAGAAAACCCAAGGAGAGAGACTGTCCGTTACCAGAGTAGCCTCCCGAGGACTTGATGTACATCTGCCCGTACTGCTCCTCCACCATGGTGTCATACGCCTCGTCGTCCTCCTCATCCTCCTCGTTGTGGTAGGAGGTGGGGCTGTCGGTGGTGGGAATGCTGCTGGCACCGGGGCTCGTCCGCTCCCCCTGTGAGTACTGGACCTGCTGGACATTGGGGATGAGGGTGGCCAGGTTGGGCATCCCGTAGTAGGAGACGCGGGAGAGCTTCAGGGGACCGGCGTTGGGGGCACCACCACCCGCCCCCCCCCG